AAAAGTCGAGTTTGGAAGCCGTGACATCTACTTAGCGGTTTCTTGTTGTTGCGCCAAAAGTTTCCCCTTTCAATTCTTATGCGTTCTTACACATGGCGCCCTGTCGCTTGTTAAATAATATACTCTAAATGGCGGTCTGAAGGGGCCCAGACCCGGTAGCTGGAACTCAAGTCAGATCTGGGCACTTCAAGCGGGATCCCTCGCAGATCGCAAACCAAAACCGGCCATCTGCAGCGAGGTCGGAAATGGTTGGTGATTGGGGACAGGGAAGAAGCTGTTTGCCGAAGCGGTCAGCGTTCGCAAGCAAACTTCAGTCGCATTGCCTAATTGGACACAAGGTCAAACGCTCCACAGTATTGTGGTCAAAACGAGCTCTAAATCCCACACATCAAGATAGTCAAGGATCATCGATCATCAAACTGACGAAGCCCGAATTTAATCAAGTTTCGAAACAAAGTCACACGAATCACGAATCACGCATTTTTGCCCAAACACTCCCTAACTCATTGACAGGACACACCTAGGTGAGGGAATCTCACGCCCAGAAGAACAGCTTGCTTCATACTCTACCCGCTTTGAGGACACCTTGCGGCCTGGACCAGACGCACGCTGGACGCCTGCTAGCCGCCCCCAAACTCTGGGGCGCAGGCCAGCATGCTGCCTTGCGGCAGCTACTGAGAGCTTTCCGAAAGCCTGGCTGAGGGCAACTCTCCTGCAAGTTGTGGGTTGAGTCTGCAATTTGAATGCCAGGGTGGCATGCCAGGTCTGGCACCGCAGGCGGCGTGGACCTGTCGCCAAAGTCAGCTAGGAGCTCTGTGAGAATCTCACTCGGCCCCTGGCAGCAAGCGCAGGGCCCACGCCCAGGCAGCTGCCTGGCAAGTCTGGCTAAAATGACAGCCATTCACCATAGGAGTTATCTACTGGAAGTCTCCGAAGGGCCAAATCCTCCAGAGTCCTTAGCCAGTGGCATGGCCCCTTACCAAAAAACAACGTACTTGAGCTCTTAAGCTGTCTGCGCATTACACAAAGCGGCCTCCTCGCAGGCAGAAAGCGCGGCATTCAGCGCCAAAGTGTCCGCTGCCACCTCCAAGTCACGAGCTCGAGAAGAGGCATCTAAGTCGACCTAGATAGCCGGCCATGCTGCCTTGGGTTTGGCAAGCTGACCAGCTCTCTGCCTGCTTCTCCTGCATCTCCTCGAAGAGATCCACGGCTTTGAGCCACCTTGAGACGTATCCCCGTCCCACAAGGAAACGAAGGTGCACCCAGTAGAGGGACGTCTACCCCGCATGGAACTCAGCCCGCCCATAGCCCGCCCAAGTACCTAGAAAGTCCCAAGGGTGAGAACCTAAAAACTGCAATGGAAAGCAGCGTGAGAAGGTCTATCCAAGGGCAAGCCTGCAGGGCAAGCCCCAATAGAGCGAACGCAACTGAGAAGCTTCACGCAAAGTCGAGACTGCGCGCACGCAAGCACCAATGGAACTCAGCATGAAACTCTCTCGCCCAAATCCAAACCTGGGAACATGAAACCTCATGGACCAACAGAACGCAACACGGGAAGCTTCGCACAAAGCCAAGCCTGTGCACACGCAGCCCAACATGGAAAGCGGCGCCTGTGTCTGTGTGTGTCTGTGTGTGTCTGTGTGTGTCTGTGTGTGTCTGTGTGTGTCTGTGTGTGTCTGTGTGTGTCTGTGTGTGTCTGTGTGTGTCTGTGTGTGTCTGTGTGTGTCTGTGTGTGTCTGTGTGTGTCTGTGTGTGTCTGTGTGTGTCTGTGTGTGTCTGTGTGTGTCTGTGTGTGTCTGTGTGTGTCTGTGTGTGTCTGTGTGTGTCTGTGTGTGTCTGTGTGTGTCTGTGTGTGTCTGTGTGTGTCTGTGTGTGTCTGTGTGTGTCTGTGTGTGTCTGTGTGTGTCTGTGTGTGTCTGTGTGTGTCTGTGTGTGTCTGTGTGTGTCTGTGTGTGTCTGTGTGTGTCTGTGTGTGTGTGTGTGTGTGTCTGTGTGTGTCTGTGTGTGTCTGTGTGTGTCTGTGTGTGTCTGTGTGTGTCTGTGTGTGTCTGTGTGTGTCTGTGTGTGTCTGTGTGTGTCTGTGTGTGTCTGTGTGTGTCTGTGTGTGTCTGTGTGTGTCTGTGTGTGTCTGTGTGTGTCTGTGTGTGTCTGTGTGTGTCTGTGTGTGTCTGTGTGTGTCTGTGTGTGTCTGTGTGTGTCTGTGTGTGTCTGTGTGTGTCTGTGTGTGTCTGTGTGTGTCTGTGTGTGTCTGTGTGTGTCTGTGTGTGTCTGTGTGTGTCTGTGTGTGTCTGTGTGTGTCTGTGTGTGTCTGTGTGTGTCTGTGTGTGTCTGTGTGTGTCTGTGTGTGTCTGTGTGTGTCTGTGTGTGTCTGTGTGTGTCTGTGTGTGTCTTGTTTGTGTGTGTCTGTGTGTGTGTGTGTGTGTCGTGTGTGTGTCTTGTGCGCCTGGTGTCTGTGTGATCCCAAGTCAGAGCATGATGTGATGTCATCTGTGTCCCCTCAGCTTCGGGCATGCTCTAGAGCGCATCACCACAGCATAGGCCTAGCTCAAGCCAGGGCCAGGGCAGACATGCTTGCAACCAGGCAGGGTGTCTTCCAATGGCCGGGTTCCGTGGAATGCATCGCTGACTCTCAGTCGCTCTGGGTGTCCAGCTGATGTGCTGTTCAACAAGCTGGACTCCAGAACCTCTCGGCGCTTGTGTTCTATCGCAAGAAACGCACCTTCCCTCAATGTGCGGGCCAGCACGAGGCAAAACCAAGGCAAAGCCACGGCCAAAAAAACGAACAAGGGGCTGAGCAGCCCAGGCCCTGAGCTTCGCGCCGGCTGCATGCCGCGAAAGTGCCATGAGCGAAAGGCCTGGATTCTACCGCTTGCGGGAAGGAGCTGCATGGCCCACATGTCGCGAGTTTCGTGTGGTGCTGAGACCAATCTGCCAATTGCTACCTTCAACTGAAGCCAAAAAGGTCAGCTGATCATTTTGTGGCTGTTGTCATTTGAGCCAAAAAGGTCATTTGTAGCTGTCAGCCAAAAAGGTCACTGTTTGAGCCGAGATTCTATTGCAGCACACAACTCAACAGTGACTCTCAAGCTCTGATCAAGTAATGATCGCTGAGCATCTATGTACGTTCGTGTTACATGGCTTGATGGTGAACGTGTTGGAGTCTAAGATCAAATATCTCCGTTGAAACAACGTGGCTTGCAGCGCTCTGCTTCTCCTGGGCCTCTGGTAGAAGAGCAAATCACACAGATCTGCGAGAATTGGCAGGACCAAAAAAGAAGACCGAACCCGTGCTCCACTTCTAAAGTCGTCCCGGTGGTTGCCAGCATTCTCGCGAGATGTCATTGTGACCGATTGCCCTGTAAGAGCGAAGGCTTGATCTTTGACTTTCCGGAATGACACCGCGGATTACATGGCTGTGGGTCAAAATCCAAACCGTACCCCCAGTGAACATCCCAATCCCCGCTAAAATAGGTTCTGGCGGTGCGCCTGCCCCAAAATGGGATCCCAACACGGTTTTGACAACCACAGCTGCATGCTTTTTCCAGTGAGACAGCTCCAGCTGGAAAATTGCCAGGACTCAGAGCTCGAAGCGACCCTCCTGGCAGCGACCGGCTCCCGATTTCGGCCCGGCAGGTCTGGATGACGTAGTAAGAAGAGCAACAAAGATGAAGCGAAAAGCAAAGGATGAGAGCGTCTGAGAATACAAAATGAGAACCCATGGTTTGCTTTGACACATCCGGACTAACAATTGTAGTCATAGCATCCCTCGATCCTTTGGTTTGCTTGGCTTGAGGTGAATCTGGGAGACTAGCAGAATTGTGGCCCATCATGCTCGACACAATCCTGACCGTACCCTTTGACTACAGAACGACTTGTTCGGAAGCTTTGCACATCGCCTGATACTTCACTTTGTCGCAGCGACTTCTGAGAAGGTTCAACTGGCCCATCGCACGCTGATGTTCCGTAAAGCTGCGGGAAGGCGTTCCGGCCGAAGACAACAAGGCGCCACGCGCCAAAAGCGGAAGTGCAAGCAGCCTCTAGCGAATACGCATTTCAGACTAAATTGTGCTTCGAATTTCGTCGTGTCTTACCAGTTCCGCACTTGCCTCAAGATGCCTGCGTTCCCAATTTGTCTTTGTTCCTTGGGCCCTTGACTAGCAGTGCACGTGAGACGTACCCATACCAGCGGCCTCAGGCGCAGGCTGGATTCCCCGAGGAGCAGTGATGTCGCACATTCAGCTGACAACTGCTACAAGTCTCTGATTGAAAAGTGTTGTTTGTGCTATCTGTTGATTTCAGCCGTCTCCAGCTGAAGCCAATCCACTTTTTGCGGAAGCCACACAGCCAAATGATAAGCATCTGATACGGGGAATAAATGATAATGTGTCAAGCCATGTCTTGCCAGACCACACGTCCTGATTGCCAGCTGCAGATTGCCCCGTTCCTGTTCACGTGCTGCTATCTTGCACGACGCACTTGGCAGGTTGGAGTGAACAGAGAACATGGAACAAAACCCATGGCAACTCGGTTGCGAAATCTGCTCCCCTGCTAAAAGTTTAGCTTTTAGTAGTTTCATGGAAAACCCATTAGTTGGCAAAAAGTTCAAGTCCTAACATCCAAGCAACATGCGCCAAGGCAAACTCTCGCAAAGCCATTGCCTGGCTGCCTGAAGCGGGGCATCCTGCACGCATGACGGGAAACAAAAGCAATTCAATAACACACAAACAGAGTGGGAACAACGCTGCAAGTATAAAAGCAACACACAGCAGAAGCCAAAGGAAAGGCTCTTTAGCAGCAGAAAACGCGGTTTCCAGGTGCAGCGTTCACCTGCCGTCAAATGATGCAGATCCATGGCTTGCAGATTGCCCGTCCTGTTCACTTGAGGAACCTGGAATGGAGCGGACTGATCTTGTCATCCCGGGGACCCATGGCATCCAATAGTGCCCACGCCAACAAGACGACAGAATGCCTGTCTTCTAGCGGTTGCTTCCAACCATTCTTTTCAGCCATCGTTCTTTTCAAAAACCAGCCATTTCCCCAGGGTTTTTGGTGGTTCTCCAGAAAGAAGGATCCCTGGAAAGAATGAAGAAGCTACCCCGAGATATCTACAAACTGGAGCCGATAAGTTCTGCTTCTTGAAAAGCATGCAATAAGGACGTCTCAATGTGTGATCCAACGAATGAAAAAGGCGTTGCAGCCAAGCATCCCCATCCACAAATGTCCTTGGCAGTTGTGGCTCTTCCACGCATTGCACAACGCGCACTTCAATACAGCAACGCCCGACAGCCTAACACTACTGCTAGGGGCGATCACGTTGAGCAACATCTAAACATGTCAGCAAAAAGCTTTCCAAGTTTCCCAATATTTCCCAAGTCTGGCATAGTCTTGGTCTGCATCTGCAACTTGTAGGCGCTGGGAATCTGAGCTTGGCAGCTGCACAACAAAACCGTGTCACCAGCGTCCAAATCATTGCATGTCTTGATTCAACATGCTCAACGCTGCAAGTTTGCCCATGTCACGAGCCTGCGAGGGCATAGGCGGGAGCGCTGGCTCCGTGAAAGTTGTGAAAGTCTGGAATGGGACAGGAGAACAGTCAGAACAGGGCTCAGGCCAGCTAAAAAGAATGCCACAAGCTCAAGGGCAAGGGATCCACAGCCACGAAGAACAAAATACCATTCCGCATGAATCTCAGCAACCTCTGGTTGATCTTCGTCTTCGTCTGGATCGTCGTCCTCGAACCTGACATGCAATTGATCAGGGCTAATACCACTTTCACGCTCGTTTGATCTCGGTTTGGACTGGTTCAGACTCGTTCCTGAAGAAATGCGTAGCCTTCTCCGAAACTATATCGTGTTGATCTCGTTATTATGGTGGGGGTACCATTTCGTTTCACAGCAAAGTCTCTGCGTTTATGGTATCAATATATCATCAATTGTTGGTTATTTGATCGCCCGCCCAGATCATCTGACACTTTCGACAGGGTGGGTTGAGGGTTTGATCAACGACTGCGCCGTCACGATGCTCAAAAATGATCAGCCGAGCATCCCCATCTCCGGCATGGATGCAAGAGTCGTATTTTTGGATCGCTGGTACCTTAAGTGTGTGAGATGACTCATGACACGCAAATTTTGCCAACCACAAATTCGGCTTGCTTTTACCCAAACCCCTTCCCCGCCCGCAGCCCCTGGACCCATGTCGTGTGGCCAAAATCCAGCCCCCTTGTGGGCCTTGGACTTGGGCTATAGCAATCCCAGTGCGGCGCGGCAGTTCTCCTCGGCCCCTTGCTGTTGGGCGAGGGTTCTAGTTCTGGCACTTCGCGGCTGGCCCACGCAGCGTCTAGCTCCAGCCCCGCTTCGCTGCGCGCCCAGCCGTCAGCCCCCAGCCCTCGCGCCGACTGCGGCCTTGGACTACGCCACTGCAGCTGCAGGCTCAGCCGCCTCCTTTAAGCTGGATTTTAGCTGCTGTTGCGCGCGCTGTGGCCGGCCACTGCCTGGCGCCTGCGCTCGCGCTTGCCAAACAGTGTCTCCAGCCTGCATCGTTCTGCTGGTTTCACCTCTTCCCCTTCCAGCAAAGATTCCTCGAAGACAAAACTAGAGGGCGGTTGGCCGAAAGCACTGCTTCTCAATATGTTTGAGGAACCGTTCAGCACAGCCCCCCCCCCCCGCCCACCCACCCAACACGCTGTTACACACACACACACACAGAGAACACAGAACACAGAACACAGAACACAGAACACAAAACACAGAACACAGAACACAGACCCACACCCGCGCGCGCTCCGAAGCCAAAAACACCACGCTTTCCCTGCGCGCAGCTCGCCCTCTGCTTCGTCAAGCAACACCTCACCGTACATCTTGGAACCAGCTTACGCAGTTCGGCGCCGCTCACTCAGTCGGAAAACACCCCACTTCAAGGTACACAAAAACACCGCACTTCAAAGCCACGAGAATCCGGCTGATACAGCGCGAAGCGTTACAATAACAGCAGCGTGGGCCGAAGGGAGATAATGTTTAAACCTGCAGAAACACTGGCTGGCACGTGCAATCGAGCAGCTCCATCGCAAGCAGTTCTGGCATGGTGTAGCTCCTGGAGTAGCCATGCTTGCGATTGAACGAACGCATGCAGCGTGGTTCGGCCTGATGAGCATCCTTTCAACAAGCTTGCCTGTGGAGCTCATCGGAAACTCAACCCAGTCCTGAACTCCGGGATTTCCTGAGCTGAGTTCACCTACCCTACCTAGCTATTGCAACGCCCGGTCTCCATGTAATGCTTTGACGAGCATCATCCAGGGTGAGCGAGCCAAAATGATAGCCCTCTTGCAGTTGTTTGCCGTCCTGAGCTGCATGGTGTAGACATGTACTTTGCACTTTTCCGCTTTGTCTGAGGCCACTTAAAACCTTCCCACCCCCCTACACCTTTGGCAGTCTCCCGGCCCGAATGCAGTCTGGGCTTTTGGGACGGAAGTTTTGGCCTGAGGGTAGAAAGGGACGACGCTCGTCGTGGATAAACTGTGAACAACCGATAGAGAGAACTCAGAGAGGAAATCCATGCGGCACTTCTGGGAACATCTTGGAAACCCATGGTGAACTACGGTAACGCATGAGACTCTCTGAGGAACCATGAAAAATATGGAGAACTGGAGAAGCTATGGGAATTCCGCAGATCTACGGGGTCACAGCGGAGTCCTGGACCTGGGACCTGGGGACAGGTCTCTTCTAGACCCAAGCTCCATGCGCTCTCCGAAGCCTTTATGAATGTGCAAGGCCTGCAAGGTCCAATCTCATGTCCCAGATTCTAGCGCAGGAAGCTCATCTCGAGTGGATGTGGGCGATAGCCCTAGCCGCTGTGCAAGTGGAAGGTCACCTGAGCGACAGCTCGGGGGTGTAGGCTGTAAGGAGCTGGTCTCTCCAGGGCCAGCGCCGGAAGAGGAACTGGTGGCACCGATCGCATAGGCGGAAAGATACTTGCCTGGGGCTTCCCGGTGCAAACAGAAACAAAATCCAGATCAATACATGAAACACCAGCGGAAACATTACGCGACCCATGAGAGGAGTTCAGACATGCCTCGATTGAACATCTGAGATACTTTTGACTGGCATCCGAGAGTTTACAACACCGGCAATCAAAAAGTGAGCAATCGCATCACGCCTAGGTCCGAGCAGGTGGATGTGGGAGTATTGTCAAATCTTCTCACGGCATTCCTTCGCACCGGAAGCAACACCGAGCAGCAAGTGGTATTGCCTGTTCTCATGGCCCAATATATTAATGGGCCAACGCTGCTAAGCAACACGTTTGGTGATAATTACTTTGTCTCACTTCTCTAAGGGTTGCGTCCCATCCAGGTTGATTTGCGAATCAAGTCAACAGATAGTTGGCAAGCCATCACATTCACCAAGTCTCACCGGACGATTGTGGGTCTCCTTTCCACCTGCTGACCTGAGCAGATCTGAGGACTATGGGCTCTCAATCGAGTGCCAGAGTTCATTTCGACAGCATTGACACCGTAGCACACCGTAGCACACCGTAGCACACCGTGGCTCGTGGGGCAAGGCCCCTGCATTGTCGCGCCGTGGAAGCTCGTGAGTTGCATCGCTTGGCTCCCAAGCGGCACGTCCGGTGCCTCACATGGACGCAAGCCATGTAAGGCACTTGCAGCGGTTTCCTTTGGCTCCAAACTTGCACATGAGAACAAAGCTAAGCCTTGCACAACATGCCGAAGAAAGCCTTGGGAGAACAGGCCAAGAGCCAGGTCTGGCTGTCTTAGATCTACGTTGCGGGTCAGGGCAGGTGCACCACCCATTCTAGTCTACTTCAGTGGGGATTGGGATGTTCACTGGGGGTACGATTTGGATTTTGACCTATGGCCATCTGTTGTTTGATCAAACTGACACTGCGGACATTGTTCCGAAAGTAGATCTCGCTTGTTGCGCATTTTGCAGCCAAGCCACTGTCGAGTTCGACAATTGCTTGTGCTCGGAGGAGGCGCCATGTTCGCTGCTCTGCGGCGTCCATGAAACGAATTACATGGCAGTGGGTCAATAATAGGGACCCAAAATGGAACCAGGGCAAATGGAACCAAGGACTAAAACCTGCGGTTCTGTGGTGGTGTAATTTTGACCCACACCCGCATGGTCAAGCAAATAGACAGGAAAAACCTGTCAGCTCTGAGGGTAGAAGTTTACACGCTTGCTTCAGCGAGGGGCGCTGATGTCATGACACTGCGTGACACCGGATGACACTGCATGACATTACGCATGACACTGCTCATTTCATGGCACTGCTGTTGACACTGCTCGTGACATACTTTCTTGAAGCTGCCGTCAGGCCGGAAGGTCGCTCCAAAAGACATACAAATTGCGGCCCACAAACGTTGCACACGCATCCGCTCAAATGACACAGCGAATGAAGCGCGCTTTTGCGGCCACTTCGCGTCATCCAAGCATGCCGGATCGAGCAAGCACCTCACAATGGACCGTCAAGCATTGGCGCTGGAAGATGACATTTCCCTGAAAGTGGGCCTTCTCGCATGGCCCAACGCGCAAACCAGTCTGGTGAGATGCATCCCGATGCTTCCCGCCTGCTGCGTGGAGTTCCACTGGCTTGGAGGGCTACCTAACTCGGCTCTGTTTGTTGGGGAGGGGGGTCGTATACTTCATTTGAGCGAGACGGGAACGAAGGCAAGCAAGCGAGGCCACAAGTTTGCCTGGCATGCGCAAAACTGCCCAGCAACGGGGAACAAGAAGAAACTGAAGCCTAGGTTTGACGGCAGTAACAAGTGACAATCGCTTCGGTCTACTAATACGATTCCTCTGCCCCAAATGATCAATATACCTCAGGGAAAATGATTTTTGGTGTTGGGAGGCCAGGGCCAGGAAGAACATTTATCCATATTGCGCATTTGTTGACAGGGCTCAGTGATTTTTGTTGCGTCACGTGCATACCAAAGGCCTCGGAAACTGCGAGTCGTCACATGTTGGCTGAGCTTCCATTGAAACGGAGCGCGTATGGCGCATCTAGGCTTGCCTTTTTTGAGGGACCCCTTTGTGGCTCATTTGAGAAGGCAACCAAAGGGACAATGGTTTGGGGGGTATCACGGTATCACGCGAGCCAAACCTTGGCGGCCCCGCCGAGCTGTGCCACCAGCTGCCGCTCGCAGGCCTCGCTGCGCTCCTTGGAGCGGCGCTTCGCCGCCTGTCGAGAAGCGGGAAGCGCGGCTGGGGCTCGAAGGCTGAATGTATATGGCTGTGGGTCAAAACCAATTGGTACCCCTGGTGAACATCAAAATAGGTTGCAAATGGATGTTCATCCACTCCAAAATGGAGCCATGTTGTGCCCCATGGCCATAGATTGGTCCATTGAACCCCTGTATGAACCCCTGGTTTATGGGTTATAGCTCAACTAACCACTAGTGACTATAGCTCAACTACGGGAACTGAGCCTTCAAAGGGAGCCAAATGGCCACAGTTCCTCTACGGAGCCATGCAATCGGCTGCCACGGCCTCCCGCGCAGACTCCTCCGCCACGAGCTTCCGCAGCTCTTGGCCCAAGTCGGGTACTGCGAAATGGCGCTGGATTTTTTGGGGGTCAGAGCGAAGGCCAAACCCCGCCGGCAGTGCAAGGCAACTGAGAATCTTATAGGTTGGTTCCTTTGCTTCGGGGCTGAACCTCAAGACCCCAAAAATCAATACAGCACACGGAAAGCGCCAGGTGATGATGATGGAGGAAAAAGAAACCGGATGGTGGAAACGAAGAAAGGCTTGAACAACTCGCCCGTTAGCTTGGGGCCCCTATGGCTCCATGCACACAGGTACTCTACGGCTTGACATTGACCCCTTGGACTGATCTCGTTCCCTGCCATCTCTGATGACCTTTGGGACGCCTATTGGCTAGCAAATATTCGCAGTGCCCTCCTCACTATGAGAGATGCATGCCCAGTTTCAGCTGCTTAAAAGTGAAAAGCATTGTTAGCAACCACTCAGGCCACTCAGCCTCGTCTGTCCACAAAAAGGGCCTGCACACGCGACTTGGGTGGGTATGGGTCGACATCTAATGACCTCCAAGGAAAAACGCCCAAGGAAGACCACTGGACCCAAAGACGACCCAAGGGGAAACGGGGCTGTGGTGGTCAAAACTGTTTTGGGATCCCATTTTGGTTTGTGGGTGTATTCACCACCCATTTTAGGCTTCCTATTTTAGTGGGTTGGATTGAATCGGATGTAACCCCTCGGGGGTACCATTTGGATTTTGACCCATGGCCAAACCGAGGAAGCGGCGGTGGTGACCTTCCACAGTCGAGAGCTTCGGAGCGCTGGCCTTTGTCCATGACACCGCTGACCTTGGCCATGAGGGCCAGGTGCCACTGCTGCACCTCGGCCGGAGAGATACGCAGGTGGGGTAGATATGCAGGTCTGGCTGTCTTAGATCCATCTGGCCATGGGTCAAAATCCAAATCGTACCCCCAGTGAACATCCCAATCCCCACTCAAATAGAGTAACATGGGTGGTGCACCCACCCCAAAATGGTACTATAGGTTTTGACGCACAGCCATATGCAGGTCTGGTGATCAAGATCCGAACTCAACTGGAACATGCAGGCAAAAGGCCAAATTTTGCTATGTCCCCAGTCGGTGGAGCCTCAAATCAGCGCGCCAAGCGGCTTTGGCATCAGGCTTCACACAAGGCACCTGGCAAGGTGAGCAAGCCTCATGCACTCTGAAGATCGCATGTGCATTTCATAGCAGCAGTTGCAGAAGCAAAAGCAACGGCAGCAGCAGTAGTCGTAGAAGCGATGGTGGTGGTAGAAGTAGCAGCAATGTTTGGAGGGGTAGTGGTACTAATGGTGGAACGCCTAGTGCTTTCCGCATTTTTGGACCACGGCTACCTCGCTCTTGTTGGGGGGGCGGGGGTAAGCTCATGTCCGCTCATGTTGTCCCATGACGACGACAGCTACCGGCCATGAGCACTTTTCTAGCCCTCTAGGGGCAGCTGCACTCCTGCCACAACACCCTGAACCGGCACCTCCACATTGTGTTCTGGAATCTTCTTACTGAACCAGCAAACAAGGCCATTTGTGTCTGTGCAATAATGGACACGATGCACCACTCTTACCGCTACTACTACCAGTAGAGCCGGCGAAGCCGGTGGGCGGAAGTTTCAAAAATATAAAAACTATAGTTCTCTTTCTCTTTGTTTTCTTGACTCTTTTCCTCTGGCGCAGAACTTTCGCAAGGTCAAGCAAAGATTTCGTGGCACGCGCAGCACTTTCGCAAGGTCAACTTTCGCAGCCGGGGCTCGAAAATCGCAACTCTTAAGTACAAAAGTAGTACGCGAAGTCAACTTTCGCAGCTGGGGCTCGAAAATCGCAACTTTTAAGTACGAAAGTAGTACGCGAAGTGCACATTCGCAGCTGGGGCTCGAAAATCGCAACTTTTAAGTACGAAAGTAGTACGCGAAGTCCACTTTTGAAAATCGATAGGCAGATACATAGATAGAAAAAGAGATAGAGAGAGAGAGATAAATAGCTAGATAGATAGAGAGAGAGAGAGATAGATAGATAGACAGAGAGAGCGAGATAGATAGATAGAGAGAGAGAGAGAGAGATAGAGAGGTAGATAAATAGATAGATAGGTAGAGAGATAGATAGATAAATAGATAGATAGAGAGAGAGAGAGAGATAGTTTGAAAGAGAAATAGATAGGTAAATAAACAGCAGATAGATAGATAGACAGATAGATAGACAGAGCGAGAGAGAGAGATAAAGAGATAGAGAGATGGATAGATAGATAGATAGATAGATAGAGAGATAGATAGATAGATAGATAGAGATAGAGATAGAGAGAGAGATAGAGAGATAGATAGATAGATAGGTAGATAGAGACATAGAGAGATAGATAGATAGATAGATAGATAGATAGATAGATAAGTAGATGGATGTAGATAGATAGATAGATGGATGGATGGATGGATGGATGGATGGTAGATGGATAGATAGATAGGTAGAGAGAGAAAGATAGAGAGATAGATAGAGCTACAAGAGACAAAGAGATAGATAGATAGATAGATAGGTAGATGGAAAAAGAAATATATATATATATATAGATAGATAGATGGATGGATGGATGGATGGATGGTAGATAGATAGATAGATAGGTAGAGAGAGATAGAGAGATAGATAGAGAGCTGGGTAGATAGAAAGATAGGTAGATGCATAGATAGATAGAAATACGAGAGACAAAGAGAGAGATAGATAGATAGATAGGCAGATAGAGAGATAGACAGATAGAGAGAGAGGTGGATAGATGGGTAGATAGAGGGATACATAGAGAGATAGAGAGATAGATAGACAGAGAGATAGATAGAGAGATAGACAGGAGAGATGGAGAGATAGATAGATAGATAGAAAGAGATAGAAAGAGCAAACAGAATTAGATAGGCAGATTGATTGATAGATAGAGAAATAGATAGATAAATAGATAGATAGATAGAGAGATAGATAGATAGATAGGTAGATGGATAGAGACATAGATAGATAGATAGATAAATAGATAGATACATAGAGAGGTAGATAAATGAATAGACAGAACGAGAGAGAGAGAGAGATAGAGGGATAGAGAGATAGATAGATAGAAAGAGAGATAGAGAGCTAGGTAGATATCTAGATAGAGAGATAGGGATAGATAGATAGATAGGTAGTTAGGTAGATAGATAGGTAGAGAAAGATAGATAGATAGATAGACAGATAAAAAGACAGAGAAGAGACAAAAGAAAGAACAGCGCAAAAATAAGCAAACGAAAGAAAGAAATAAAAGACAGATAGAAAGAAGGAAAGAAGGGAGGAAGGAAGGGAAGAAAGGAAGACTGACGGAGAAAAAAGAAACAATGAAAAGGAAGAAGATGCCACGAACTCTGCACTTGACCTTGCGAAAGCGCTGCACCTGCCACGACATATGTACATGACCTTGTGAAAGATGAAATCTGTGCTTGACCTTGTGAAAGTGCTGCGCCTGCCACGAAATCTGTGCTTGACCTTGCGAAAGTGCTGCGCCTGCCACGAAATCTGCATGCGCCGCCTTGCGCGTCCGTGCCAATGGCATTTGCGATGTGTCCGTGCCAGAAGTAAGAAAATGCCGCGCCTGTCACGAAATCTGCACTTGACCTTTCGAAAGTGATGCACCTGCCGCGAAATCTGTACCCGACCTTGCCAAAATGCTGCGCCTGCCACGACATTTGAACCTTGCGAAAGTGTGCGCATCCGTGCCAATGGTCCCGGCGCGAGCTCCCGAGCCCGTCCCGAGCCCGTCGTACCTTGCCAAAATGCTGCGCCTGCCACGAATTTGAACCTTGCGAAAGTGTGCGCGTCCGTGCCAATGGTCCCGGCGCGAGCCCGTCCCGAGCCCGTCCCGAGCCCGTCCCGCACCCGTCGTCCGTCAGACGCCGCGACCGGGGTAGCTTTCAGCCAGCCGGAGAAGCCAACACCCGCAGAGGGTTGCACTTTTTGCAGATTTCTATTCCCGCGCCACACGTATACGCACGTTTTCTCGCATGCATTCATTCTTTCTTCATCTCATCTTTGCGCAGAGCTACCTTTCAATCAGTTTCCGTAACTCGGAAGTTTCCTTCTAAACTTCCTTTGATTACTACTGCCCTTCCTACCACTATTGTTAGTCCACTATTAGTCATACTTCTCCTACTACTCATACTACGACGTTCACTACTACCACAACAACAACAAGCAGCAGCTACTACTGCTACTATGGGTACTACTGCTACTGCTACTACCGCTGCTGCTGCTGCTGCTGCTACTGCTACTACTGCTACTACTACTACTACTACTACTACTACTACTACTACTACTACTACTGCACGACTGGTTTATTGCTGCTACTTTAATACTTGCACAGGCGCAGGACATGTCGTTTTTAGTTGGCAAAACACATGCGTTTGGAGGTGGGTGGTGCTCAACATCCTACGAGAACTATGTTCTAGATGTGACAAATACAGAGCACGTTGCGTTGCGCAGCGCAGGACTGTCTAGAACGACAAGTTGTGGCAAACTGGCTCGCATGTAGGACAAGATAAGCGCGTTTTTGCAAAGCAAGGCAGAGTTCGCCTGCCGGTGTACTCCATTTTCCACTCCATTTTCCATATACTACGATGCTCGAGTGTGGCGAGAGCACGTCGTACTTTTCAGAGAGCTTCAGGGTTTTGGCCCGCTGCGATTGCGCCCGCCAGTTGTAGCTGCGACACAGGTGCACCCTGCCCGCGTTCGTTTTGTAAGACAACGGATGACCTTAACTTGCAACGGGAAAGGGCACATGCCGGACCAAAAATCAAGCACTGCATGCAAGAGTGTATCCAGCCTTTCCCATCCACATTGCTTCTGCCAGGCTTTGGTCACCAGTGGTGTACACAGGCTCCTGTGGCGGGCTTTGCATCCAAGCTGATCCCTCATTCTAAGTCTGAACGACAGCATCGCATCCATCAGAACAAAAAAAAGAAGAGTTTTCGACATGCCAACCTGGTCCTTTGCAGAAAAAGTGGACGAAATACTTTACCTGTGAATTGTCGAATGCCACATAGGCCATGCATCCTCGCAGACCTCCAGGAAGCTGCGCATCTCCTCTCCTTGGAAGTGGTTCAACTGAGCAAACCTTCGCCGCAAAGAATCCCTTTTTTCGCGCCACAACTCAGCCCTGCGCGAGGCACCCGCACGCTGCAAATGTAGATCTTGCGGCCTCTGGTTGCGCTTCAGCTTGGATTGTCAGTCCAAATACGACTGCTTGCTCTTGCACGTGAGGGAAAGAGGGAGGCCGGAACATGAGCAAAGTCTCGCAAACTCTTCCTACGTAACATGCCTGGGTCATGGTTGGTCATATTGCTTCGTGGGCTGCTGTACCGCCTTACCTCATCTTACCTCATTTCGCACATGTCCCAAACGGACTCCAAACACAAACAAGCTGTTGCCATCGCTTGGCTGCTGCACCTTGAAACAAGCTGTCATTGCTCTAAGTTTGCTGTCTGGGCTGCTGCTTTTGGGTGCCTTCGATTTGGACTTGCATGCACAACTATGTGTCCAGGCCGTCGGTTCTCAATATAAGTCAACTGACGCATTGCATTCCACGACGTGTCTGTTGAGTGTGGATGTTACGGTTGCCGCCTCGCTAACTGTCACTTTGGCTACATCCCCCTTTTGTGCAACATGTTGTCAGCTTTGTCAAGGCAGCCATTGAAGTTCAATGCTCGAATTCGGCCCAATAGTTTGTCCATATCTCATAGTGATTGCCTTCTTCAGGCTGGAACACGCAAGAAAAACAAAGCCGTCCCTCTCGCTGCTACTTTCAGTTGAGCACTTAGGTTTGAGCCTGGCGGGAAGTTGAAGACTTGGCTGGTCCTGGCTTGCCACTTCCCTCCTTCCCAGGGTCAAAAGCCTTGCATTTACACGTTTGAAACAAGCAAGACGCACCCATCTCTTGACACCAGGTCAATCTGCTTGACTCTGGCGACCGCCCGATTCTCAGCAGAGGCCTCGGCATGCAGCTTTCCCAAGGCCGGTGCTTCGGTTGCAGTCGAACATGAGAGAAAAAACAAGCAGTGCCCCAAATGAGTCGCAATCAAAACCGATCGGTACCAAAAAGGTCGTAATCCCAGAACCATGTACAGGATTAAGAAGGCAGAATCCCGCAGCTATTTATGGCAAGGGGATCGTCCCTTACTAACCTAACCATCTACCCGGGTTTTGAGCAAGTGGCTCAGATGGATCGCTCATTTCGGATTTCGGGCCTTTCTCCAGGCTGTGAAGACGTTTGGCGCCACGATGATGTCCACCTGGGAGCCCTCCACTCGGCCCAGCAGGTTCGAGTCCCAGAGGAATTGAGAGAGCTGCCCAACGCCGCCTGTGACCTCAGCGCCCGGCGAATCTGCTCAAACGAAGCCAGTGTCCGAACGGCACTAGCCCCAAGCGAGGTATTGCTGTACAACCAGAAACACATGCCTATGGGTCAAAGCCGTTTTGGCATCCCATTTTGGGGTAAGTGAATTCACCACCCATCTTAGGCTTCCTATTTTAGTGGTTTGAATCGGATGTTCACTGGAGGGTCACCGGGCTTTTGACCCATGGCCACATTGCAGTCAGAGCAAACTGGTCCGCACCTCTGCTGAGGTCACATCCACCTGGGGCTTGAAGGACGGATCAGCGGCCGCCTGGCAGAAGCTGCGCGATGCAGCCCATGACGTATCACCGACGAAGGTGTATTTAGTATCTTGGTTGCTGTTGACCCCCCTGCAAAAAGGTATTTTTTGGGGGGGTTTAGTGGAAAGCACCTTTATTTCCCAAAAAGTTAAGGTCTAAAGATCCAACCCAATAGCAGTCAAGCTATTTAGCACGCCTTGTCTTCAGCGTTGGCTAAAACTATGCAAGTCATTTCCTCGCGGCCAGGGTTGAAGCTTCAGCCATTCACTGTGGGCAAATCGCCGGACGGCCATGCGGCGATTTTTATGTCTTGCGAATCCGTGCAGTGAGCCTCCGGAACCCAATCATTGGATTGCTGACACCGCTTGTCTCCACTCCAAAGTCACTGAGACGAGAAACACAAATGTTGAGCATCAGAAAGCATCAAAAAATACAGATGGCTGTGAGTCAAGAATATGTACCCAAAATGGCTTGTTTTGGTAAATGGCTTGTTTTGGTAAATGGAAACTTGGACTACAACCTGGCGGTCCATACCCAGCCTGGAAGATTTGCTCGGCCAGCTTCTCGCCGCTGGTCTTTTCGTCGCCTTCGTGGCGGCACGAGTGTCGATTTTCCGTCACAATGTATCAAGTTAAGCAGGGATCCTAACATTATACACCTGAACATTGCAACTTGCAAATGGTGGTTTCCCTTTATTTTGGCGTTGAACAATTGCCATGTTTCAAATGGGCAAAATGTATCTTTCAAGGAGCCCTGTTAAGGGAGCACGAAAAGTCATCCCTCCCTCTCATCGCAGACTTTCTAATTTTTCCTGCTTGCTGTTGCGCTGTCATCATGTGTTCTAAATTCGGGCAGTCACCACTCTGTCCAGTCAAGCCAACGAATTCTCAAGACATGACTCATGTTGATGCATGAGGGTTCATAGCTGATTCATTGCTTGACTGCTTGAACACAGACATTGCGAAGGCAAGCTACCTGACTTCAACAACGATGACATATTCCGCGACAAATCTACAAAGCAAGTTCTAAGTTCCAGCGTGAAACCAAGCTGAAACCAAGATGCAAACTCGGCTCTTGGCACACTTGTAAAGAAGCAGCGACTGTTGGGTGGAAACTATTGGGTGCAACAAATTCAACAAACTCGAGGTTGTGAAACACACGCAAACTGGGCCTGCTAACAGTGAGTGGCAAGTGGAAAGTACCAACTAGAAGAATGACGGCCTCGAGCAAGTTTCCCGTCTGCATCGATGGGGATCACTTTGGATACCTGGCCAAAAAGCATTCTGTCGGTTGACAACCAGCCCTCAATCCACATTTCTTGAATACACAATCAAATCGGTTCGAATCACTTCGAACCGGGCCTTGTGTTCAAACCACCACACAATCAGACTTGCCCTTTCAACAATGCATGTTACATTCTTGTACACCATGCCCGCGACATGAAAATTCAACTGCACATCTTGTTGCTTTCCCATTCCAAAGTCAGCTCAGCGGCAAAGTTCCTGAGAGTCAGGCCACACGTACGTGGCTTGGAACTTCCTCATCTCCAAGCGCCTAGTGCATCATCAACCGTGACTCTGTGAAATAGATTTGGCCATGGGTCATAACCTGTGGCTCCATGTTGGAGTGGATGAACATCCATTTGCCACCTATTTGGATATTCACCAGGGGTACAGGGTTTTGACCCACAGCCATTTGGGCTGGTGGCTCTTCGTCCTTCTGGTTCGGTTATGTTTCCAAACAAGTGTCTTGCGTCATACTGGCACATGGATAAGAGGCAATCGTTACCCATGTCTCCCCTCACCAAGCAGAGAGCCATGGGTCAAAATGCCGTAACCCCAGTGAACATCCCAATCCCCACTACTGCACCTGCCCCAAAATGGGATGCCATTGGTTTTGACAACCACAGCCATCTGTCCCTTTACCGTCAAAAATACGGCACTCGGTTTTTCTTCAGCCTCTCGATCCAACTCGCGGAAGCTGTGCTTTTTCTCGTCATCCTTTCGGCTGTAAAACCTGGTCGGCATACAAGCGAGGTCTCGGCTCTCAACGCGTCCTTTCGGACTTTTGGAGTTGGGTTGGGCCCTTTGTTGCCACTTGTTCGATGAATTCAAGAACCTTCTGCCGTGATCCGTTGGAGGTTTAGCATCATCGGGAGCTGAAAGCGTCAATCCAAGATGCGACACACTTGTCAGTGTCCAAATAGCAAAGTGGATCAAGCGGCAAAATTGCAGCTTTCCAAAGTACACCTTGACATTGGCTAGGTGCCCTGCCACCACAAGCGGACCTGGAAATTGGAGTAGAAAAATTTGTTGGAAGCACATGCCTGATCTTACCTCGTGCAAACTGACAAATACAAGAAGAGACTCTGGAAGGCACTTAAGCATGTTAAAACAATCCAACATCGAGGTCCTCTCAAAAAGTGTGATACGTGAGCCAGGGTGAATGCTGTCAGGCGAACCTTGCCACCCTTGAGGCCGCAGTAGTCCATCAGGAGCCTCCAACCATGCAGCGAGAGTCACGAGGATAAACGCAAAAATCTTGCCTGCGCCATGGTGTCTCCGTGCGCGCTGCTCGGAGGATGGACCTGCAGAGTTTTCAGGGACACTCACGGAGGTAAGCAGGACGCTTGCCCTGCGCATGTTGCATAGCCCACATGCAAATGAATGTCCACCAGGTGATCAAGAGCCGCGAAAGGCGTTCCTATCGCGCACGGCTCTTGCGATGCCTGAACACACCTCCAGTGCCGTCTGTGCTCCAGCCAGTGGGAATCAGATGTCCCAAGCCCTTCGAGTAGCTGTGAATGTTGCCTGGCGACCCGCCAGCGACTCGAACTGAGCTGAAGGTCGCCGAATGTGACACGTGAGAAGCTCCGCATGACATCGGCCCCACTGATTTTCAAACTCGCTTGCGGCGCAGCTTTGGCTTCTCGTGATATGCAAGTCGCATGATTCTTCAAATCATGGACTTGGCTAATCCAAGAGCTGAACTTGGAGCGGAAACTCGGCTCACACCTTTCCACACCAATGCACCTCGCTTGCCGCACGCTCCCGACTCTCGGCGACTTGAAGTTGATCTCTCAGACTGTCGCATCAGCCCCCAGTTCATTTCGGCAAGCTGCCCGGTCTCGCTGGCGAGTCACAAATGGATTCGGCATTTTTTTTTCGCTACGAGGCCAATTGGTTTGCAAGCGCGCGGGTCTGTTGGACATCTTTGGACATCTTTGGACATCTTTGGACATCTTTGGACATCTTTGGACATCTTTGGACATCTTTGGACATCTTTGGACATCTTTGGACATCTTTGGACATCTTGGCGTCGCGGTGTGCCTTTAAAAGCACTACGCAGCTCCGACGCCAAGGGACGGCTTTGCCGACATGCTATGCTCAGCCTGCTCAGAGCAGCTACCACGGTATTGACAGGAGCTGCAAAGCTCACCCTTGTTCCTGGGATTTTCTCAATGTGTACTCATTGTACTCCATGTAACTCAAATAACAGGACACGCCCCTCAGGCCAACAAACATTAACTCATCTGAAGCCAAGCTACATCTCCATGCCGCGGCATTGCGACTCACCCCAGAATGGAAGTTGCTCCCGGGTATCCCGCTTCAAACCTTAGACGTGACGCCTTTGGGCCTGAAGGGCCAAGCAATGCACGCTCATTCGACTCAGAGCCGCACGCTTCATGTGCAAAAAAGCCGTGGTGCCCTCTCCCGGCATGGACATGAGGTTCAGAGTCCCGCCCAAATATTGCGCATAGAGCCGGCTCAAGGGAAGGCCGACACCGTAGCCTGGGAACACGAGACTCTGACACTTGCTCGCCTGTTTGCGCTTGGACTGCCAATGGAGTGCCCGGGCACAAAAAAATGGCTGTGGGTCAAAACCAATGGTACCATTTTGGGGTAGGTGCACCACCCATTTTAGTCGATTTTAGTCGGGATTTTGACCCATGGCCAAAAGGTGCAAAAGGTCCCCTCAGCACAGCACCAGCCAAAGGCGTGCCCTGGTGCTCCCACACGTCTGACTTGGTGTCCTTAGCTTTTCGGGTGCAAACTGCAACTTCCTGTGGAAGATCCTGGCGGGAAAAACGAATACGAGAGCCAGCCCTGTGAAAGTGGCTGCCTGATCAAAGAACCGGGTTGCACCTCCCATTCAGTGAAACTCGCGTCACTGGCACAATGATTGCAAGGTGCAGTTGGACCAAGTGGCAGCTGTAGAATATGTGTAGGACCAGACGCGTTCTGCAACTTCGAAAGGGATTCCTCCTGCAAAATCCTGAATTCGAATGGCAACTTGGCCAGAGTTCGCACTCACTGTGACGACGATCCTCAGATGTATCGAAGCCACTTTCTCCAATCCGTTTTTGCGGTCAGACTCTAGCAAGCCTTACCCTCCGCTTTGCTGCTGAGCACAGCTATTTTGCCAAAGCGTGAATAGTCACAGAAGAGAGTTGCCAGATTCATCCCAAGTGGCGGTCGAGCTTCAACCTCCGCTGGGCTCGAGCTAGTTTCAATGGTCGCGCGAGCACTGTTCTTCAACAACTCCAACACCATGTAGTAGAGGTATTTCGGGACATATGTGAAACCTCAGCTTGAAGCTTGCAAGCTTCTGCCCCTTTGCTGCCTCAGGCTGGTGAATTCCTTGGCCTCTCCAGCCGCAAGCAACTCCGACCCCAGTCTGTGAGAAAAAATCCGCCAACCCCTTCCTAGATGGGAAGGCGCATGGGAAGGGCCCAGCATCACCGGTGGCTTAACAATGGGCATGCTCCGCTTCTTAAACATCGATGTCGTACATCATACAGATGCCATGCATCCTCCTCCTCCTCATCAGCATCATCGCCGTCACGATTGCTTTAAATGGAAATGCCATGATCAAGCAAGAAGAGCGGGCCTTGGATTTCGTTAGAGAGCATCAGGGTTTGGCTGCAGTAAGTTCGGCCGCGGCCACAATCCGAGCAAGGCTCTCAAAATGATCAACATCACCACATCATCTGCTGGCGAGTGCGTTTGGGTCTGCAGACTTGTGATACCGGCTATGCTGGAGGTGTGGGTTGGCGTCGTTTGACGCTGGCAATGCAGCTGGAAGATGACAAACTCAAATGATGAGCATCAGCGCTTCTGGCAGGCGCGCTTTTGGACTTGTTTTTGGTGTTTCGGCGTCTGCTTGCGTGGGCAATGCGGGCAATGCTGGGTGAGGTTTCAGAGTCCACCATGTTTCTCTAATGAGTTCCATGGCAACGTGGACAGGGCATTGTTTGCTGAGACCACGCTGACTTGAGGGGACTTCCCAGAAGTATCAAAGGCAGGGGGTGTAAATCGGGGAACCCCCACCTCGCCCCCTCGCCGCGAGCCGCCAACCTTAGCATCCTGGCCCGCTGCAAAAACTGCTTGTGTGGCAGGTTGCGGTTGTCTTGGGGTTGGCCGCAGCTGGATTGCTGCCAAAGCATGCAAAAAACAAGAACCACTGGAACTACTGACAGACATGGCTGTTCAGACTTATGGCGGGCAGGAGTCTGGTGGCGAAAGCGCAAATTCAGCACCAGGCAGGTGATGTTGGGGATACGTGACGCTGGGTGCGTGCCAGTGCGGCTGGTGTGGGGCGCAGCCCTTGAATTAGCTTTGCGACATCAACCACGCTTTGTCCGGGCAAATGCATGGTACACCAACCTCATCTGTCAGCTTCGCAACAGAGCCTCCCGTTGCTGCTGGCACTTGGCAGAGTGTTCACCTGGATCTGGACGGTGTGGCCCACCCTCTTGTAGTGCTCCATGCCTGGATCTGAACAAAGGCGGTTCTCTACTTCTGTCAGCGAATGCTTGGTTTTTGAGATGGCATGCAGGAGAACCTAAGCAACTTGTCATTGAGGCCCACCCTTAGGGTCGACTTGCTTTCGGGCAAAAGCCAGCCAGAGCACTGCCTGACACTCTCTTTCGGAAGCTACACGCGTGGACGAATCTCAAGCAAAGCTGCACAGCCATCGAGCCCGCTCAGAAGCTCGGAGGCAAATGATCGTCGGATCGCAGTCCTTCTCAACAATGCTGCCTCCCTGGCTGAGCAGAATGCAGGAGGCGAGCCGCTTTTGGCACACCAAGTCAAGCAGCGCTCAAACTGTCAGTCCAAATCAAAGCAACAAGGACCTTCGCAAGAGCCTTCCTGGCCTTAATGCTTTCAACATAGTGGGAGGTCAGCATCTCTGTGCTAATGCGGGACAGCAAAAAGCGGTCCAGCCAAGGCTCCTTGGCACATGCTGCGCATAACCAGGCCAGAAAATCGGGAATGGTTTTTGTACTGATCGTTGAACTTGATTGAGCGAAACAACCAGCCAAGGTGCCAAGAAAGACTCCGGCAATGCCAGGCCTTGCCAAATAGGAGAATGGACATGTACAACAACGTCGGCAAGACCCTAGATAGCAAGAATTGCGCTTGGGTGTCAAACACAAAACCGCAACATGCCAACAAGCACGTCCAAATGTTGAGGAGTTGCAAGACGAAAGAATGGATCGTCAAGTCATGCAAACTGACATGATGATCTGCGTCGAAGCAGGCGCTGCCACGAAATGAACATGGCTTTCTGGCTTCACTCGGCCCCAATAACAGCCGAATGATGCTCCTAGCCCTCGTCTTTCCCGACAAAAACACTGCAAAAGTAAACATCATCCAACCATGACCTAGCCCTGCTTTCCAACACATACCCGACACATCACCAGTTCTTGCAAGCCAAATACGTTTTGTCATCTCCAAGTGTAAACACATGCCAGTCGAAGACAACCGGTTCATTGTGATATTATCAACCAGTGCTAAGAAACAAAACTAGGACATGTCGAACATGTAACTGTTAGATATGACAAACATGCACACATAAAGCAACCCCGACCCAGCAATATTTCTCAGCGCCCTCTCCGTTGAAGCACCAGTGTTTCTGGTCTTTGTCACAGTGACCGCTAGGTTTCCTCGGTTTCAAAAACATCTGGTCCGTTCTCGCAACGATGCAGCGGTTCTAAGATGAGCGACGAAATGGACCGCGCCCGGCCTTTCTCCTGAAGCTCCTGTAACGCCTCCATCAAAAGTGGAACGGCCCCATGAAGGCGGTGCTTGCACCGCGCCACGGCCACGTTCAGATCCTGTGGCTCGTCATCCTGCGTTTCGCGTCCCCAAAAATGCGGAACAAATTGAGGCCTTGTGGCCAAAGTTTAGCTCCATGCAATCTCCTTGATGTCAATGAGCCGCAGGTCACAGAAGGATTGGAAGTAAAGATGCCGCAGCTTGACCAAGTCCTGCAGGGCATATCTTGCTAGGGAAAGATGTACAAGAACACCATGAGCACATGAATGATCACACTTCAGCTATTTGGCCATGGGCTTTTCAAAACCCAAATCGGTTAGTCCCCCAGTGGTTACATCCGATTCAATACCACTAAAAGAGGAAGCCTCAAATGGGTGGTGAATTCACTTACCAAAATGGGATCCGATCCAAAACGGTGTTGACCACCACGGCCATTTGACGCAGCATCCTGGGACTCGTGCCATCCTGGGATCTCCTCAGGGTCGCTTGTCAAGCAAAGCCCGTGATGCACCGAGCAAAACCCGGTGCTCTCAAATTTTCTGGCTAGAACCATGCCTCAAGCATTAAGAAGGCGGAATTCCGCAGCTAATTATGGCAAGGGGATTGTCCCTTACTAACCTAACCATCTACCCGGGCTTTGATTGTGGCTCATGTGATGCACCAAGCAAATCGACATCCGGACGCCGTGCTTTGATTTCGCTCCTCTATCTGCCGAATGCGCTTGGCGAAGCGTATGGGCAGCTCCTGAT